ATCATAGTAAGCTTCACATTTAACAGTTAAATGGTTAAAACAATGTATTTCTGTGCTACGTGACGCGCACCATGTTACCCAGTAATCAATACTTGTTGAATATTTAAATCACTCTTTACTTTCATTGGCTTATTTTTTCAACCTGAAACTCAGCTACATATTAACGATAATAAACAATATCGGTTGTCTGTAGTATTTATTCTAACTGCGGTTATCAAGAGCCATCTGTTGAGCGTGGGAATATTATGACCCCCGCGGGAGGTCTTTGTTCAGCAGTATTACCTACGCGGTTATTTATGAAGATTCTTTTCGACCTATTTTATGATACGGACCCATGACTTCACCATTGTAATATTATGATGATATTGACAATAAAACATTTAGTACTAATATTATTTTATGGTTATGAAAATAGTTACACCTACAATCAGCAAAACGACACCGCTTTTCAGTGGATTTCACATTCACAGATTTCTCCATATGTTATTTATTAGGATCGCTTAGGGGTCGAATGCTTTTCCAGAGTCAGACCTGCGGAGTTTTAAAGGTCTATGTGAATAAGTTGGTTTGGATATGTGCGCTCCAACGTAGGCTGTATCATCCCACCAGGCGAGATATGAGATTTCGGGAGTGAACGTTTTCCTGTTGCAATAAAAAATGACTATGGATAGATAGATTGGTATGGGAAATTTTTAACCCTTTGAGTACCGTCATTATAGACACAAAAAATAACAATAAGTTGCGGTCACCGGTGTCCTCGCGTTTGAGAGTTTAACTGCATCTCTATATAGAAGTCTAAGTAAACGAAATTTCTCCACTAATAACCTACTACATATCAAATAAATGACTGTACTACTAATTAAATACTTGGTTACCTAAACGTGTTGAACTAAACACTGTATAAAACTGATCAAAATCTAATGGTTTTTCTTATAATTTATTTACAGAAAAAATCCAACTAAAACCACATATACTTATACGCGTTTCGAAACAATATTACTCACAAAAATACGGACTGGTGGAATAGGGATGATGACAGGCAGGGTATGAAAATAAAAGTCTAATTAGTCCGTCAGTTAGGTAATGAAATAATATTAGACACATATTTTTTATTTTGTCGTATAATAAAATGATACTTAGGTAAAACGAATCAAAGTTTAGGAGGGGGAGGGGGCTAAAACGTCATTTCTATAGATTTCGATAGAAGTGACGTCACGCGACATTTCAAACCAATATATCATCGAAAGTATTCGTTTCTGTAAAAAAATAAAAAATCTATGTCTAATGATTTAAAATCTACCAGACGGTCATTAAATTAAAAATGAGTCATCTACCCTATTGTGGTTAATGGTCACCTTAGATAGCAGCCCGACATGGTAGGCGCATAGATTACAATGGGATACCATTCGTTAGGTTACTTCAAATCCTGCGGTCAGTAGTAGCTTACGAATCGGTGCTCCTATTCCGTTTCATATTAAACTACTGATCTAATTGGATAGTCATTCAGTAAAATAGTTAAGGTTTTAAGACCAAATCGTATAGAATCTTTGATTTATTTGATGCGCAAATATTAGGTGTGCAATTCAGTATTTCGGTTAGCAATTTCGAATATTTTGATAGAAAGAAGTAGATTTACAGTTTTGAGAATAAATACTCATCAACAGCCTATAAGTGCCCACTGCTGAGCAAAGCCTCTGCTCACACGGAGAAGGTTTGAGCTTTAATCACCACGCTTGCTCAATGCGGGTTGGCGATTTCAAACTAATAAGAGTCCAGGTTTCCTCACGATGTTTTCCTTCACCGTTTGTCAGTGGTTTCTATCTTAGAAAGTACATATAACTCGAAAAAAGTCACATTGGTACTTGCCGTTGGTAGGTTTCGAATCCGCACCCTCATGCATGAGAGGCGGGCGTCTCAACCTCCGGGCCACCATGACTTTTAAATACGACTTTTAAATTAGAATAAATACTATCCGATTGGTAATAACACAAGTGGCCATGATCTCACAAACCATTTGCCTAATGGACGTTATGACAAACTAATAAGACCCTCGGCACAGTCCAACAGGATTGTCGCAGGCTGTTAATGTTGAAGGGGCATTATGATAAAACTATAGTCTATAATAAAAATTATAGCTTGCTATTGAGTTACATGAGTGAAATAGGTCAGTCACGTGAAGTAAAAAACAAAGTATACGATGAAAGAAACAGTTTTATTTTTTCAAACTTAATTTAAAATAATATGCATTTAAACAACTAATTAAAAGAAATCTTAAAAATAAAACGTAATAATTATATCAAAAGAAACTATGATAAGCTTATTCTACACAATCATAAAAATAACGTTGTGCGTATACATAGTTTAAGCTTGGTAGACATTACCATTATTTGAAGAACACAACTTAACATAGCATAATATCTATGCAGACATTTCCAATTATTATAGAAGAGATCGTATATCTAAAACTAATAAACCTGTCACTTTTCAAAAACCTACCGTTTCGGTAGGATTCTCAAAAACTGTGAACACAAAGAAAACATCGTAATTTCTGTACATACCTTGACCGATTTACTTTATTTTACAGAAATATGACGAAAATATAAAATACATAAGAAATATATATATATGTGAATTATCGATCAATGTCACATAAAATATGTCACGATGATTCGATGTTAAAAATAAAAGCAACAGCTGTTTTATATCAAAAATATTTTTGTTCGAAATACCGAAGGGCATACGTTTAAAACTTGTCAGACACTTTTGGACTGACCTTATTAACATGAAAATATAAATGAAAACTAACTTCTGCCCATGACTTTAGTCGCGTGGAGTATAAGAACACTTTATTATTAAATATTGCCTAGGTAAAAAGCTTGTGTAATTCCAGACTAGCCTATTTCGGTTTTTGCATGAAAAAGTAACAAGCTCACCACATTACATGGGACTCATAACATAAATAGTGAAAAGTGGGTGTTACATTGTGCAGTGGCATAATGTGCACCTCTGCCTACCCCTTCGGGGATAAAAGGCGTGATATTATGTTATGTAGTAACAAACGTACCTTTACTAACAAAACATAACATTTACACAAAGTATAACAAATATGTATGTATCATACCAATTTATTACAAAAAAAACCGCTAAGTATTATGTCGTATGGCTAGCATAGTTTTTTGTGAACTTACATAAATTTGATTAATATTGTTCGAAGGCACATTGCAATACAATACCTGCATAAAATGATTAGGCTGGTATGCCTATACACCGTGAAATCTACAAGGTGTAGTTTTGAAGCCGTGTCATTTCTCGGGGGCATGTCACGGAAGTCATAAAGGTTCAATGTAAGAGAAAGTTTCGGGCCAATAGTTAAAAATACGGCTATAATAAATAAATAATGTTTCTTATTGGAGTTTTATGGAATTAGGAATAATATCAATTACGTGTTTGAGTTTGTGTGTAAAGCCGCGTTATGAAGCTAGTTACTAGACGGCGGCGTCTACTTCGAACTTAAGATTTCCGTAATTTCCGAAAAATTAAAAATATTTACCTGCAATTTATTAATTGATTTGGACTCAGAATCAATAGCTGAGCTACCTCCTAGAAAAATTACGCGGCTTTAAAACAACACCTTGTATTTCGTTTCCGTCCCACAGCAAAACAACTTGCCCTAAGGAGTAATTTCGATGTATAAAGTAGAAAATGAATACGAAACTTGTTATACTTAAAAAAAATTCATTGACTTAAGCATGTGAGAAACTAGATGTAAAATTGTAGGCACTATTCGCATTACACGCGCCACCCGACGAGTAATACCTCTTCGAGAATTACATGACGGATGTTTTGATAATGTACTGTAATGAGTTCGTATGCGCTTTCGAAGTTTGCTTTTTGCAATGGTTCTCCAGTTATTTCTTTGTAAAACTATTGTATTACCGAGACAGAACCATTTTCCTTCGGGACGAAAGCGAAATAAATTCAAGGCGTAGGTATAAATAATCATGTAAAACGTTCAATATAAAACTAAACCGTGTTTAAAAACTCTTGCTTACAGAATTAAACCTGGCAAGTACGAATATAACTTTTTCAAAGTCATAAATTCTTATTTCACTTATTATAACACCATATTTAGACATTACTTACACATTTTAAAACATTATTATTATAGTTTCACAAACTCTTTAACCAATAAAATTACTTTTAGAAACTATCTCTTGAATACTGAAAGGTTACTCAATTTCAAGTCGTACTTAAATATAATGTCATCTCTGTAATTTTCTGCCCCTAGGAAACGGTAGAATACACAGTAGGGGAATGCCCTGCGTGGGCTGAGCACCGCCGTGCCCTCAGGGACGTGATCGGCGATGGCGACCTCTCGCGTCCGGGCCTAGTGCAGGCCATAATGCGGAGCGAGGGGGACTGGGATGCCGTCTCCTCCTTTTGCGAAGCAGTCATACTAGCTAAGGAGGAGGCGGGGCGCGTGAGGAAGCGAAGCGCTGCCTCCTCGCAACCCAGCCATCGCGAAGGACACTCCAGGCGTCGGGGATCGCGGGACGATGTCCAGCCACCGTAAGCGCGGGCCTGCGGACGGCGAGCAAGGGTGGCTCCCCGTCTGACCAGAACCAGACGCGAGCGTACGGCGCCGAGCGTTCCACGCGCGCCTCAAAGAGCCATCAGACCACCACGGATGAGGCCAAATAGGGCTGTTGCCGATACGGAGCCGCGGAGAACCTAACGGGTTACCGGGGCTCCGGCTCAAAGTGCAGGAGATGGAACGGGGTGGTTTTTTGTCAGTCAGAGTCTGACACTCTCTCCCGCCTTACCCAGGCGGGAGCAGTCATTCGATGATTTTCCCCCACTTAAAGAATATCTCTGTCGTTTTACAAAGAATCTGTAGTGACAGAACTATGTATACTTAAGCGCAACTTCATATTGAGTAACATTTGAGTATTTCGGCATAAATGACTATTGTTTTGTAACATGATACCAACAAATGAAGTTTATTCATTAGATTTAACTTTGAAAAATTTCTGTATAGACGTTTGAATCAGATTATCAGGGGACTTATCTTGTTTTTTATATTTTCGACGCAATGGAGTGATTTCCTTATCCGGCTTCACGGTAGAACAATTTTGAGGCGAACATTCCAGAATATATTGGCTATATTTCTTTGATTTCTTAATCTTATTTGTGTCTCTTATCTGCACTTTCAATTCTTCATCCCGCCAACGGATTTTGACTTTTATATTTTTATCCTTAATAGATATACCTTTTCTACTCTTTTTTCGTTTTTTAGACTCGACTTTCAACACGAAGTCATCATTTAGTTTTCGTTTACGGCTTTTCTTGGTCGTATTGACTGTTTCTACCTCTTTTATATCTTCTTTTTTAGTTCTCTGCAATCCTACTTCGTTTAGATACTGGTCTTTGAAACTCTCCACGTCTATGTCTATATTCTGGCGTTCCAACACTTCTTTATTATACGGACTAAACTTGAAAGCGCATTTCTCGCTCTTCTCCGGAGATTTTAGTCCGAGTTTCTTAATAAAATCCTCATTTTCCATATTTTCTATTTTAATCATATCTATATTCACAATTTCGTCTGGGGCGGAGATTTCTAAGCTCGAATTCTTCAGTATATCGACAGTTTTTAGTTTATTCGGTGATTTGAACGTAGTGTATTTTATAATTACAGAGTCCTTATCGTATTTTGCCGCCAAATCTGCGTCAGGACGTTTCTTTGGAGTCACAAAGGTGTTTTGTTCTGAGTCGACTTCTTGTTTGATGGGCGTTTTTGTATTTTCTTTATCTGATATCGACGGTGGTGTGTTCTGAAACAAATTGGTATGACTTTAGCAAAAGTTTTATGCTTGTAACTAGCTGTTGCCCGCGACTTCGTCCGCGTAGATTAATGACTACTGACAGAATTAATCAGAAGCAATTCAGTGCCCAAGTAAGATTTACCTATTTTGAAATGATTTATCGTAGTTTCAATAAATAAATAATCCCGCAGGGATCTTACCAGTATAGTACCCGATCACGTAAGGTTTGAGTAATAAAAACAATTCTATCGACTATTGTTGTACCGAATCTCTCTAAAATAAGTTCAGTGGTTAAGAGTTAGAGAGTCCTGGGGCATTAACGCATAGTTCCCGTTCCCGTGGGACATCTGTGATAAAAACTATCAAACGTTACCCAGGTCCCAAATCATCGTTTTACCGAATGTAATTCAAAAAGATTCAATGATTCTAAATTCAATGGCTAAGAAGATTTATACAAACTCTCATTCCCTATTTTATCCCCTTAGGGGTGGAATTTATCAAAATCCTTTCACAGCGAATGCCTATGTGATAACATCTATCTGCACGTCAAATTTCAATCCGATCGATTTAAAACTGACAAAGCCTTACACAAACTTTCATCCCCTATTTTACCCCCTTGGGGGTGGAAATTATCAAAATCCTTTCACAGCGGATGCTTACGTCATAACATCTATCTGTTTGCCAAATTTCAACCCGATCAGTTAAAAACTGACAAAGTTTCATACAAACTTTCATCCCCTTTTTTACCCCCTTGGGGATGGAAATTATCAAAATCCTTTCTTAGCGGATGCCTACGTCATAACATCTATCTGTATGCCAAATTTTAGCCCAATCTGTCCAGCGGTTTGGGCTGTGCGTTGATAGATCACTATGTCAGTCAGTCAGTCAATCACCTTTGAATTTTATATATATAGATAGGGGTGAATTGGTTGCTTGCATTTACATTTTTTTTAATCGACTTTAAAAAACGGTCCTCGGTCTCTCCTGTATTTGTTTGTGCGCGCTTACCTCGCGATTTCCTGAACCAATTTTGATGTGTTTTTTCAGAAAAGTGTTTGTTACACTTAGGAGAAGGTTTAGAAGGAAACAAGAGGGGGTTGAAGTCGGTTTTTTAAACGTAGTTTATGTAGAATTATTTTAGTATAGGGCAAACGAGCAGACGGATCACCTGATGGTAAGCAATCGACGTCGCTCAACAAGTCATCAACACAAGAGGAGTCAACATCGAGAGAAGAGACAGTCTATACAAACGTGTACATGTGAACATTAGCTCATGACGATACCTAAGTACGTGTGTCGCCTGGACAGTCACCGCTACCATCAGTTGACTGGACAATCTCTTTACATGAGAACAATATGGTACTTACATCCCCAACCGCAATGACTTCAGGAGTGGTGTCGTACTTTTTAGGTGAATTCCATTGTATGACGGGATCTTTTTGTTTCGGTTCTTTCAGCAAATTGTCGAACACCTCGTTCAGGATATCACTGTAAATATAAATTGTATTATTAATACGGAATCATCATTAACAGTTGAAGACAGTACTTTGCTGCAACAGTTCGTAACAGTGCGCTTCAGGGTGCTTACTCTCAATGTCAATGCAATTTCAATCCAATTAAATCTCAATAATTATCCAATGTCAACACTATACAACCCCTATCGTAGCTGTTACAATAGCATTCAGAGTACGGAGTATATAGCCAAACTCAATACCATTTAGTTCATTCAATATCCAAGCAATACGGATGCAATGGGCGCTAGTTTTGCTACTTTAGAGTATGACATTTCACAATACAAATGTCGATCGATCGGAATTGGATTCAAGAGTAAGCCCCCTGAACTACGAACCTTCTCTACATAAGAGGAATTGATTTATCCCAAAGAGCAACACAGGCCACCGGCGGACCGGAGCTTTATCCCCATGTTCAGTAAGATATCGCAGTATAAAAGGTTCAGGTTTATCAGAGAGCGCTGCTGCCCGGTCTCTATCTAATGTGGAGTCACTTAGTCGGGTATATGACACCCGCGGCAAGAGTAGGGGTGGCGACATAATGTATTATTGTATAACAAAATAATATTAAACCTATAACTAGTATCAACTACTTGTAAGTGTAATATTGATTGTCTATTACATTACCGTATTATCTATGGAATGCATAACATAACATAACATCACGCCTTTTATCTCCGAAGGGGTAGGCAGACCTCTGCCTACCCCTTCATAATGTGCACCTGCACTTGATGCCACTGCACAATGTAACACCTACTTTTCACTATTTATGTTAAGGGTCCCATGTAATAGGGGGTGAGCCTATTGCCATATACCGGGCACAATTCCAGACTCCGTGCTACTACTGAGATTTTTTTTAGAATCCCAGTAATACCCGGGAATCGAACCCGAGACCCCTTGCCCGGCAGTCACACTTGCCCACTCGGCCAACAGCATAATAATAAGTCTGTGGACCATGGACAGGACTTCATTTTTCATTTTTAGCTTTTATTTTATTTTTTAATTATGTTCTGTGTGATCTGCGCAAAAATAAATGGTTTTTCTTTCTTTCTTTCAACGAGGCAGTCTATGGAATACAGTGTATGTATTATCCGTACAATAAAGTTTAGTAGTCGTTATTAGAAACCATTACACTGCGTTTTAATTAACAGACCGCGAGCGACGCCGCGGGCAGACGCTACTAATGAAAGATACTTACTTTACAATCTTCCGTTTCTCCCTCAAAGGCTTTGGCTTCCGAAACTTCCTTCGTAGACTCTCAACTGTCTTCTCATCAAGAATAACGTTTTTCGCGCCCAAATTTTTCATTTTCACTCTCAAAGACTCTTCTAACATCTTCATAGGCGATTGGTATTTGTATTCAGACGTATCCAAGTCGATTTTGTTCGGCGATTCCTTCCCTGGGTTTGGTTTCTTACTCAGTAGACTTTCTAGTATATTTGTTTCTTGTATCTTCGGTGGCTTCAAGTTTAATTCTTGACGTGATAACGCTGTGTTTGTTTGCGCTGTAAGATTATTAATTATTGATTTAGTTAATCTCAAAAATATTATACTATTATTAAGAGATTTTTTAGTATAGTTATACTAAAAAATAGACTGCCTCGTTGGCCGTGTGGTCGCAAGTGCGACTGTCGGGCAATGGGTCTTGGGTTCGATTTCCGGATCGGGCAAATTATTACGGGGTTTTAAAAAAAATCTCAGTAGTAGCTCAAAGTCTGGAATTGTGCCCGGTATATGGCAATAGACTCACCCCCTATTACATGGGATTCATAACATAAATAGTGAAAAGTGGGTGTTACATTGTACAGTGGGATTAAGCGCCGTAATGTGCACCCTTCGGGTATAAAAGGCGAGTTGTTATGTTATACCATTTATGTCGGAATACTGAAACGTTACTCAATTTTAAGTCGTGCTCAAATATCGTGCCATCTCTGTCGTTTTACAAAGAATTTGTAGAGATAGAACTATACTTAAGCACGACTTAAAATTGAGTAGCGTTTGAGTATTCCGACATTAGTTGATTAATTTCGCTTGTAATACTTCTATAGTAATATCTAATTATGCTATAAATTGTTTATAGAGTCGAACAGCGATGGCATCGAAGGTATGAAAAGTATTGATTTTTCATTACTTACGTTCAGGTTTGACTTCATGTTTAATTTCTTCAGCACCTGCAGATGAACACGACGGCCTGAAGAGTTAGAATAAAAACGTATTAATATCAAGAATATAAGGTGTAAACAGAACGGTCCCGTAAAACGCCAAAAGGTGATGGTAAAAAAAGTTTTAAGTGTGGGGGAGCCATGCTTCGGCACTGCTGGGCGGGCTCGACCGGAGTGATACCACGGCCGAGCAGAAAACCGACGTGAAACAATGATTGCGTTGTGTTTCGTCGTGTGAGTGAGGTTACCGGAGGCCCAATTACCCTCCCCTTCCCCAATCTCCCCAATTTCTAAATCCCCAACGATCCTCAAACTCCTAATCCCCAAAAGGCCGGTAACGAACTTGTGACGCCTCTCGTGTTCCAGGTGTCAATTGGCGACGCCGATTGCTTACCATCAGGTGATCCGTCTGCTCGTTTACCGGCTATTCCATTTAAAAAAAAGTTCTATTTAATTTTATGTTCATGAAATTCTTTCGCCAAGATTTATTGCGCGCATGTGCGCACGGGATACCGACAACATTCGGCTGGCCGGCCAATGTTGGCGCCAACTCCCTACATAATGTAACTAACGTAACAATAGAACTAATTCAGGAGTTAAGTAGTTCAACTGTTTAAAGAACAATGAACATTTCATTCGTAGGTGGCAGGAGAAGGAACGGGGTGGTTTTTAGTCAGTAAGAGTCTGACACTCCCTTCCGCCTCACCCAGGCGGGAGCAGTCATCCCCTTAAAAAAAAATCCCTACATAGAGCTATGTAGACCTCTGCCCACCACTATTGGCCCACCGTGTTGGCCCAACATGTAGAGCTTCCCAAAAGATCTCTGAACCTTTAACTCTTGAATCCAATCCCGATCGATCGACATTGGTATTGTGAATTTCGTACTCTGAGTTGCAACACTAGCGCCCATTGCATCCGTATTGCGTGGATATTGGATGAACTAAACGGTATTGAGTTTGGCTTTATACTCCGTACTCTGATGCTATTTTAACAGCTACGATAGAGGTTGTCTAGTGTTGACATTGAATAATTATTGAGATTTAATTGTATCGAAATTGCATTGATATTGAGATTGACTTCAAGAGTAAGCACCCAGGTGTATCAGAGAGCGCTGTTGGGGGCGTCCATAAATTACGTGAGATGTTTAAGGGGGGAGGGGGTAGACTCAAATCTCATCTAATCTTACGTTAGAGAGAGGGGGGTCTCGGCAAATATCACTAAATTTTTTCTGACAGGAACAAAGAAATTATGCTGATTTTACCGACTTCATAGTTCATTTATTCCAGATTGTACATGCTTAAGATTTAATTGTACTTACACATGGATTTTTTTTCTTTTTGCAATAACAATCCAACGCGTTTACGAGAAAAACCAACATTTTGAAAAATCTCACGTGTGATTGGGGGATGGGGGAGGGTGTTGAATAAAATCTCACGAAATCTCACCTAGGCGGGAGGAGGGAGGGACAGACAATTAAAAAAAACACCTCACGTAATTTATGGACGCCCCCTTGCCCGGTATCTGTCAACGATATCCATACTAGCGACCTCTGGTGAGCAAAATATCTCCACATGTGTTCAACTTACATATTCTGTGACGTATTTCTCTTGGTCCGTCGTAACGACATCCGGGACGGCATCACGGGGCCGCGACGGGAACGGGACGACGACGTCTGTTGTTGCTCTTGTGATATCACTGTAAAAAACATAGAATACTTATATAATATGACATGACACAAGAAAATACTGAATAGATTTGAATCAAATTTGGTACAGGTGTAGATTATATGGTCTAAGACAATACATAGGGTACTTTAGTGGCAGAAGCCACTCCTGCCATTCCCCGCGTTGTTAAGTAGCCTTTGTGTTCAGTATTTTACTGATTGGCTTCTTCTTCGGTGAATGGCAGAAGCCAGACAGTACAATACCGCGGGAGCTAGTGAGCGACCAGTAGTAGACCTGCTTGGATGCAGCGCGCGAGCTGGTCGATGCAGCGCGGCGCGGCGGGCGTGCAGTCGGTGCAGACGTGCGGGGGGGGCGCGGGGCTGCAGGCGCCGTGCTGCAGTCGCGGGTGAATGGCAGAAGCCAGACAGTACAATACCGCGGGAGCTAGTGAGCGACCAGTAGTAGACCTGCTTGGATGCAGCGCGCGAGCTGGTCGATGCAGCGCGGCGCGGCGGGCGTGCAGTCGGTGCAGACGTGCGGGGGGGGCGCGGGGCTGCAGGCGCCGTGCTGCAGTCGCGGGTGAATGGCAGAAGCCAGACAGTACAATACCGCGGGAGCTAGTGAGCGACCAGTAGTAGACCTGCTTGGATGCAGCGCGCGAGCTGGTCGATGCAGCGCGGCGCGGCGGGCGTGCAGTCGGTGCAGACGTGCGGGGGGGGCGCGGGGCTGCAGGCGCCGTGCTGCAGTCGCGGGTGAATGGCAGAAGCCAGACAGTACAATACCGCGGGAGCTAGTGAGCGACCAGTAGTAGACCTGCTTGGATGCAGCGCGCGAGCTGGTCGATGCAGCGCGGCGCGGCGGGCGTGCAGTCGGTGCAGACGTGCGGGGGGGGCGCGGGGCTGCAGGCGCCGTGCTGCAGTCGCGGGTGAATGGCAGAAGCCAGACAGTACAATACCGCGGGAGCTAGTGAGCGACCAGTAGTAGACCTGCTTGGATGCAGCGCGCGAGCTGGTCGATGCAGCGCGGCGCGGCGGGCGTGCAGTCGGTGCAGACGTGCGGGGGGGCGCGGGGCTGCAGGCGCCGTGCTGCAGTCGCGGGTGAATGGCAGAAGCCAGACAGTACAATACCGCGGGAGCTAGTGAGCGACCAGTAGTAGACCTGCTTGGATGCAGCGCGCGAGCTGGTCGATGCAGCGCGGCGCGGCGGGCGTGCAGTCGGTGCAGACGTGCGGGGGGGGCGCGGGGCTGCAGGCGCCGTGCTGCAGTCGCGGGTGAATGGCAGAAGCCAGACAGTACAATACCGCGGGAGCTAGTGAGCGACCAGTAGTAGACCTGCTTGGATGCAGCGCGCGAGCTGGTCGATGCAGCGCGGCGCGGCGGGCGTGCAGTCGGTGCAGACGTGCGGGGGGGCGCGGGGCTGCAGGCGCCGTGCTGCAGTCGCGGGTGAATGGCAGAAGCCAGACAGTACAATACCGCGGGAGCTAGTGAGCGACCAGTAGTAGACCTGCTTGGATGCAGCGCGCGAGCTGGTCGATGCAGCGCGGCGCGGCGGGCGTGCAGTCGGTGCAGACGTGCGGGGGGGGCGCGGGGCTGCAGGCGCCGTGCTGCAGTCGCGGGTGAATGGCAGAAGCCAGACAGTACAATACCGCGGGAGCTAGTGAGCGACCAGTAGTAGACCTGCTTGGATGCAGCGCGCGAGCTGGTCGATGCAGCGCGGCGCGGCGGGCGTGCAGTCGGTGCAGACGTGGGGGGGGGCGCGGGGCTGCAGGCGCCGTGCTGCAGTCGCGGGTGAATGGCAGAAGCCAGACAGTACAATACCGCGGGAGCTAGTGAGCGACCAGTAGTAGACCTGCTTGGATGCAGCGCGCGAGCTGGTCGATGCAGCGCGGCGCGGCGGGCGTGCAGTCGGTGCAGACGTGCGGGGGGGGGCGCGGGGCTGCAGGCGCCGTGCTGCAGTCGCGGTGAATGGCAGAAGCCAGACAGTACAATACCGCGGGAGCTAGTGAGCGACCAGTAGTAGACCTGCTTGGATGCAGCGCGCGAGCTGGTCGATGCAGCGCGGCGCGGCGGGCGTGCAGTCGGTGCAGACGTGCGGGGGGGGCGCGGGGCTGCAGGCGCCGTGCTGCAGTCGCGGGTGAATGGCAGAAGCCAGACAGTACAATACCGCGGGAGCTAGTGAGCGACCAGTAGTAGACCTGCTTGGATGCAGCGCGCGAGCTGGTCGATGCAGCGCGGCGCGGCGGGCGTGCAGTCGGTGCAGACGTGCGGGGGGGGCGCGGGGCTGCAGGCGCCGTGCTGCAGTCGCGGGTGAATGGCAGAAGCCAGACAGTACAATACCGCGGGAGCTAGTGAGCGACCAGTAGTAGACCTGCTTGGATGCAGCGCGCGAGCTGGTCGATGCAGCGCGGCGCGGCGGGCGTGCAGTCGGTGCAGACGTGCGGGGGGGGCGCGGGGCTGCAGGCGCCGTGCTGCAGTCGCGGGTGAATGGCAGAAGCCAGACAGTACAATACCGCGGGAGCTAGTGAGCGACCAGTAGTAGACCTGCTTGGATGCAGCGCGCGAGCTGGTCGATGCAGCGCGGCGCGGCGGGCGTGCAGTCGGTGCAGACGTGCGGGGGGGGCGCGGGGCTGCAGGCGCCGTGCTGCAGTCGCGGGTGAATGGCAGAAGCCAGACAGTACAATACCGCGGGAGCTAGTGAGCGACCAGTAGTAGACCTGCTTGGATGCAGCGCGCGAGCTGGTCGATGCAGCGCGGCGCGGCGGGCGTGCAGTCGGTGCAGACGGGGGGGGCGCGGGGCTGCAGGCGCCGTGCTGCAGTCGCGGGTGAATGGCAGAAGCCAGACAGTACAATACCGCGGGAGCTAGTGAGCGACCAGTAGTAGACCTGCTTGGATGCAGCGCGCGAGCTGGTCGATGCAGCGCGGCGCGGCGGGCGTGCAGTCGGTGCAGACGTGCGGGGGGGGCGCGGGGCTGCAGGCGCCGTGCACGCCGCTACTGCCGCACAGCAGGCACAGCTTCATGGACCACGCCCTGGAACGATCACACATAACATAACATCACGCCTTTTAACCCCAAACATTATACCACTGTACAATGTAACACCCACTTTTCACTATTTATATTACGAGTCCCAGGTAATAGGGGGTAAGCCTATTGCCATATACCGGGCACAATTCCAGACTCCGTGCTACTACTGAGAATTTGTTAAAAACCCTGTAATACTTTGCCTGACCCGGGAATCGAACCCGAGACCCCTTGCCCGGCAGTCGCACTTGCGACCACTCGGCCAACGAGGACGTCTCGTCCTGCCCTGGAACAATCATACATCTTCATTCATTGTTCTGTCGTTACGGCCTGGGAACTCACTCTTGAATCCAATTCCGGTCGAGCTATATTCATATTGTGGAAGGATAACGCTAGATTGAAATGACATTGACTAGCTGAAATTGGTGCCTTTTCTTTTTTCTGGCGGCAGTCGATGATTTATCGAAAATATTATCTAGAATGTCATTACAAACGAAATTGTCTATGGGCTCATATATGGAAATCTCAGTCTGGACTGAGTTATGAGCGTTGAAAGGAGCTGGAGTCGAACATTTTATTTTGGTTTTTTTATTCAATATATTCACATTATGTCGTGGTGGCCCGGAGGTTTAAGACGCCCACTTCTCATGCATGAGGGTGCGGGTTCGAAACCTACCATCGGCAAGTACCAATGTGACTCTTTCCGAGTTATATGTACTTTCTAAGATTATTTAGACACCACTGACAAACGGTGAAGGAAAAACATCGTGAGGAAACCTGGACTTATAATTTCTAATTATAAGTTTGAAATCGCCAACCCGCATTGAGCCAGCGTGGTGATTAATGCTCTAACCTTCTCCGTGTGAGAAGAGGCTTTGCTCAGCAGTGGGCATTTATAGGCTGTTGATGATGATGATGATTCACATTTTGTTACAATTCCTAACTTCAAATTGCGCGCCACTGTACGCCGGGCACAGGAACATCATATCATATCACAATACATCCTTATTGCCACGCACTAATTTTTATTTCCTATTTTCTCTCAGTCGATAACTTGTAGGATGCTTCTAGGAGTTACCGCCAGAGTGTTACATTGAAACATATTTGCAGAAATAAATATCATTTCATTTCATCATCACATTTCATTATTTTCATAATTTATCACTACATAGTATGCTTAAATCTTTGTAACTACGCAACGGATTTTGATGTGGGTTTTTTTAATAGATAGAGTGATTCAAGAGGAAGGTTTATATGTATAATACATGCATATTGCACCCGTGCAAAGCCGGGGCGGGTCGCTAGTATTATATTAATACTCACCCATTGTCAGCATCATGGCTGCGTCCCATAGGACATTTACAGTCGGCCGCAGAGCAGGGCACTTCACGTTCATAGATCTCGGAGAACGCGTTTTGTTCCAACTCCCAGGCTGCGTCTCTGTAAAATACAAGTTAATTATTAATTATTATTATTCATTTTATATCTATATCCATATATTTATTTAAAATTCTCAGGTATGGAATCCAAGATATCAGAAATATATTGACCGCGTGGAAAACATTCAAAAACGTTTTATAAAATATCTCTGTTTTCACCAAAATATACCATACCAGTCTGCCCGTTATCTTGAACTCTGTAGAAAATTCCATCTATTACCATTGGTAGATAGACGCAATATTGCAGATTGTCTATTCTTGTTTAAGGTTCTTAACGGCAAGGTGGATAGTCCAGAACTATTATCAAAAATCAAATTTAATGTACCTAATAAAATATTTACATTTAATCCACCTTTACACGTATCCCGTTCCTCATCTAACTACAGGCAGAACAGTTACATTGTGCGTGCAAGCAGACACTTTAACAATGTTTGTAAGGAATATGACTTCGATCCGTTTACAACTAGTGTGAACTGGGCAAAGAGGTGCTTAAGCCTCAAATTTTTTAAGCAGCACTAGATATTTAGATTTTTTTATCGTTTCTCTTGATCTGTTTATAATCATATTGTCAGTACGGTCTGTTTCAATATTTATTTTTTTTCATTTATGCAGAATGTATGTATTTTTAATATTGTATAGTACTCACACCATATTAATTAATTTATTCCAAATGCTAAACGTGAGGACTTGTTATTGGCTCATTGTTACCTACGCCTATTGTTATTTTTATCCATTTTTATAAGCTGTAAGTCCTCCATGAATTATAAATAAATAAATTCTCTATAAATTACATTTTTAAATATTACTTACAAAATAAAAAATTATATTTAAAAATATAAAAAATAGGACCCGACCAGTAGCGGGAGCATGGTCCAAGCTACCGGTGGTTAGGGTTCCAGAGACAGAAACCTCCTCACGATACGTGCCCTTTCTAGGAGAACTGCCTTCTGTATCAGGCCCTTGATCCATTCATTTAACGCCAGCCTCCTGAGATGGATATCGAGGCTTTTAGGGATTAACCCATTGGGCGACACGACTATCGGCACAATAATAGCCGAATCCACATTCCACATATACACAGATATGGTCATTTTCAAGAACTGGGTCGGGCACATACTTGCGACCCGCCCCGGCTTCGCATACTTTATATGTATTATCTTTATCATCTGCGTTTGCATTGATATGTATAATGTTACCCACACATGTTTATACAAATAAATATATCTTTATCTTTATATTATGTTGTCTATTGGCTATGTCCAAAGCGAGTAGTGGCGGACAGATAACGACCGCAGCGCTCAACACGGCAAAAATTGGAAACAAATGCGGATGATGCAAACCCGGTTTTTATTATTATATTCATTTTACAGTAAAACTATTGAATAAATTGCACTTAAATAATATCAACATCAATACTTATTATTTATTTTATTTACTTATCTTTATATCACACAGGTAAGTATTTTATAATCTAAGCCCCACAAAACCGTTGGAATGGTTTGACTGCGGGGTCGAGTCGCTAGACATTACAATTAAATGTACTTATATTTAAATGTTATACAGGCGTTGAAACTTATACTTACTTATTATTAGGACATTTCTAAATAATATGACTTCAATTTTCGTTTAAACCTATTTGAATGTGTTTCACTCCTTATGTCTGTCGGCAGACTGTATAATAGATATGATATACTCTTTTTTAGTGTTCTATCCCCGAAATAGTTGGTGACTCTGGGTACAATGTATCTACCAGCAGCCATAGTTCGTCCGCCATACTATTTTAATTTTTGTTTTATTTATATTTGCAAAGAAAATTTTAATGTTTACATTGTTATTATTTGACAGCTTCCGCAAATGTTGTAAACGCTACGCATCGCCACCGTCGCGCACATAGCCAGTATACTGTGGGACAAAATTGTGACATTTTGCATGTGTTACTAACCTGTCTGGGACATAGTATCCTTGCGTGACGACGGCTTGGTAGAAGTTGTCTTTATCATTGCATAGTGGACATTTTAAGTAGTGCATGCCTGCACTTAAAGCCATGCGCTGTGGACAAAATAAGAAAAACGGTTCAATTTTATTTAGAGCTCCTCTCGCCTGCGATACAGGATTGTCCTAGGCCCGTATTAATAAATAAGTCTCAATCACGATATCAAGACCGGCATCAGTCCGCAGCTTTTTAGTGGCTAAAGCATATTATAGTTTGCCTGAGTATCTGAATGAGAAGGATTTTTTTTTGTAAGTGCTTGAATTGAAAACTGTGTTCCTAATTTATGGTCTTCTTTTTTTGTTTATGTTTTTTCTTTTTATTGGGTTGTTTGTCTTCAATTGTAACATATTATCCAATGCATTTTACTATGTATATCATTTGCATGCTTAAATGGTAAAATATGGCTGAACCTGTATATTTATGTCACCTGTAATTGTTACCCATATTTGCAAAATAAAAGTATCTTTATCTTTATCTTTATCAGTTGATACGTTCTCAAGATGCGATCAGCATCTTAATGTCGACGCTAATTAATAAACCTATATCCACACGATCTCAGGTGATACCGCGGTTTGGATCGGGTTATCAAGATTCGTAATTTGACACTCAATGAAATCCTGATGTTAAGACTTGTTACGTCACAGCGAACGAACTATTACATCTTTCGTTCATTCCGTTTAGTAATAGCTTTGTAGAACAATAATATTTAACTCTGTATGCATAGGAATAAAAGTTTTTTTCCAGTTTAAATTGATCGAAGTTTTAGGAAACTATATTTTTTTTTATATTGTATACATTATGATTTGTTTGACCATAAAAAAACACTATTTGTTATAAAGTTACGTTTAATTTTGTGACAAAAGCACATACCTACCAGGGATTGCGCGTCACCTCATTATTATATCTGTCTCTTTCTCTCAATTGTTTATTAGGTACTTGATAATACAATCATACATATCAGTGTTTCGTGTTTATTTACAAGTTACTTATTAATCGACTGCCTCGTTGGCCGAGTGGTCGCAAGTGCGACTGCCGGGCAAGGGGTCTCGGGTTCGATTCCCGGGTCGGGCAAAGTACTGCTGGGGTTTTAAAATATTATCAGTAGTAGCACGGAGTCTGGATTGTGCCCAGTATATGGCAATAGGCTCACCCCCTATTACATGGGACTCATAACATAAATAGTGAAATGTGGGTGTTACATTTTTCTTACAGTGGCATAATGTGCACTTCTGCTTACCCCTTCGGGGATAAAAGGCGTGATGTTATGTTACTTATTAATATTTTAATATAGGTTTTATGGAGTAATGCTAGCAGTCGTGATACTTTTCTAACGACGTTTGATACTGTAGGCTGAGATAAATAAATGAGATCCCCGCACACAAATTGAAAGTTTTTTCATTATTAATAAATCGTTTAACATACATAACAAATTTAACTTTTCTATGTATATATCGCCGCGATGCTTATCTTATGTAATCACGAATGAATCGAAGTGATGATTAATTATTTGATTGATTATTTTTGTTGTTAATTTTAATTAGCTATAATTAGTGGTAAATTGTTGATCTTATTCCAGTAGAAATCTATTTACGTAAATCAAACATTCTATTGATGTAAACAATCTTCTATTTCACCATTTTCTAAGTAAAAATGTAACGTAAGGATTTTGTTCAAATTCATGTAATTAAATTAAGTAAATAATCGTTATTTTCAAAATGGCGTCTTACGAATATTAATCTTTTGAAAAATATTGTAACTATCGGTTATTACGTCATCATTATTTATTTTATTAAGTGAAGTTTGACATTTGTGCCTACCGCCATGTTGGCGCACGTCAAAACGAGGTTATAAAAAGGCGTGTCTTGAGCAGAGGACTCACTTTTGTTCCTGACTTTGGTACGGAAAGGTTGTAAGTACAATCTATGTTGGTTTAATAAATGATTGAATTGCCATTATGCTTGTTTTATCAATTATAATTCCTTTGGTTTAAATTACTTTAAAATGTTATGTTGAAATCAGTATAATTAAGCTTGCCTTAGTAAACAAGTGCTAGATATTATAGTATAAAGCAGAACCGATGGTCTGAGTGGTCAACGGTTCTGCACTTTTTAAAAAATAATAACTTCATGACATCCGTGACATCAGAAGTGGGATAACCTATATAGCCTTGTCCTTTTTGTTTTTTTTGTTTTATTTTTCAGATCTACCTACATCTAACCAGTCGTTACGTATTACAATGGATACACAAGGACAAAATCAAACCGAATCAACATCGCAGAATGAGACGTCGTGCGTCGCGCCTGGCCGTGCGTGTGAGGCTCCTGGACCTCCTGGACCGCTTACACCTACTGCCAGCACATCAAAACAACAGGGCGGTAACGTACCTCCTGAATTTTACTCTCAAATGATATCCATGATGCAAAGCATGAGTGAAAAACTATCGAGGGAACGTGATAAGATCAAAATCACTGATGTGTTCCTACCCTCATATGACCCAGATGGAAATGTTGGGGTCCGCGAATGGTGTAACCATATTTCCTTAGCCAAAACAAACTATAACCTCAGTGATTATGATGTTCGAATGAAAGTAACGAGCTTACTCAAAGGTCGGGCTAGAATGTGGGCTGATAATTGGCTTGTTACAACGTCCACATGGGACGAGCTATGCCAAAATATTGTCACCACATTTGAGCCAGAAAGCCGTTACTCTAGGGATATACTTAGGTTTAGGGAGCACAGCTATGAATCTAGCAAGGACATTGCTGAGTTTTTGTCGCAGTCTTGGATTTTGTGGAGACGTGTGACTAAAGATAAACTTGGTAATGATGATGCAGTAGAAGCGGTGATTGGTACTGTCAGTGACGAACGGCTTCGTATTGAACTTATGAATGCCAGAGCCACCTCCGTACCCGAATTGATTTCTGTAGCCTCTTCCATTCGTGTAAAGCGTTCAAATCAAAATCATACAAATACTAACCAGCCTCCGTCCAAACGTTCAAGATTTTCTGTTGATAATCGTAACTATTCAGTTTGTAATATTTGTAAAAAACTAGGACATGTATCTCGTGATTGCCGACATAAAACCAGTACCGACATACCAATTAGTAGTAATTCTGGGCAACAGACACCTAAACAAACTGATGATAAGGTTTGTTCATTTTGTTCAAAGCCCGGCCATACATTTGAAACTTGCTACCGTCGAGAAAAACAAATAGCCTCAAATGTAAATTCAGTCATACAAAGAAAGACTTCTTTAAATACAATGCGCGTGCGTGTAGGATGTGTTTTTATTAATGCGGTGTTTGATAGTGGCGCCGAATGTTCTATTATGCGAGAATCTGTCGCAAATAAATTACCAGGCCGACGAGAACAAGTAGTCAGCTATCTACGAGGTATAGGTCCGTTTCCTGTCGTTTCAACAGTTACGTTGCAAACTGTATGCGTGATTGATAACATAACTGTAGAAATCGAATTTTATACCTTGCCAGACTACGAAATGACATCAGACGTTCTGATAGGAGCGAATATTTTACATGACACAGGGCTAACGGTTATAGTAACCCAACAAAAGGCGACATTGTATTCTCAGCCGCGCGTCATGCATATTCAAACGACGCCTACCGGCTTATTTGAAAATATTAATCACGATTTATACGATCAATTTGAAATTGACCAATTATTACGTTTGCTTAACAAATATTCTGTGATTTTCACCCGCGGCTTTTCAAAAACTCGGGTTAGTACAGGGCAGTTAGAAATTCGTTTGAAAGATCCTAATAAATTTGTAGAACGTAGACCGTATAGATTGAGTACAGCTGAGCGAGAAAAAGTTAAGGAAATAGTCAAAGAACTTATAGATAACGATATAGTGCAAGAAAGTACGTCCCCGTATTCTAGCCCAATTATTTTGGTAAAAAAGAAGAACGGTAACGATCGCATGTGCGTTGACTATCGCGAGTTAAATTCGAACACCATACGTGATCACTATCCTCTTCCTTTAATTGGAGATCAAATAGATCAATTAGCTGGTGGTCAATATTACACTACTTTGGATATGGCCTCTGGATTTCACCAGATTCCAGTTGCCCCTGAATCCATAGAAAAGACTGCGTTCGTCACTCCGGATGGCTTATTCGAATATAAAACAATGCCGTTTGGGTTATGTAATGCACCATCAGTGTATCAGAGATGCATTAACCGTGCGTTAGGTCCCCTTTTGAACCCAGGCAGTGCAGATAAAATACATAATGATGGCGTAGCTCAGGTGTACATTGATGACGTTATCAGTAAATGTCGCAATTTTTCATCAGGATTAGAATACTTAGAGCGAATTTTTATAGCTTTAGGAGAATCTGGTTTTTCTGTAAATATTGACAAGTGTCTTTTCTTTAAGAAATCGATTGAATACTTAGGGAACGTAGTCGAAAACGGTCAGGTTCGACCTAGTCCTAAAAAAGTTGAGGCTTTGGTGAAGGCTCCAGTGCCGACCAACGTTAAGCAGGTACGTCAGTTTAACGGCCTCGCAGGTTACTTTCGTCGTTTTATACCAGATTTCGCGCGAACCATGTCCCCTCTGTATGAACTAACAAAACAAAACATCAGGTGGCAATGGACTCATATTCATGAAGAGGCACGCCAAAAGATCATTCGTCATCTGACATCTACACCTGTGCTAACAATATTCCAAGAAGGTAAACCTATCGAACTATTTACTGATGCTAGTAGTCTCGGTCTTGGAGCAATCCTTGTTCAAATCGTCAACCAGCGACAGCATGTAGTGGCTTATTTTAGTATGCGTACAACAAGCATCGAAAGTAGGTACCATTCTTACGAACTTGAGACATTGGCTGTAGTTCGAGCGATAAAACATTTTCGCCATTTTCTATATGGCCGTCAGTTCAAAGTTATTACTGACTGTAACGCCTTAAAAGCATCGAAACATAAAAAAGATTTGCTACCGCGCATTCATAGATGGTGGGCATACCTCCAAAATTTTGAATTTGAGATAGAATACAGGAAGGGCGAGCGGATGCAACACGCCGACTACCTAAGCCGGAATCCGGATCCCCTAACTGTTAATGTCTTGACACGCAACTTAGATTGGGTTAACATTGAACAGAGAAGAGATGATCGTCTGAGGCCTATTATATGCTTGCTCTGTATAACGGTGAAAGTGTGCCTGGATATTATCTTGAAAATGGTATTCTTAAATTTGAGCAACAAAATCCTATCTTCGGTACCCAGAAACTCATTGTTGTGCCGAAGTCTTTTCAGTGGAGCCTGATTAACACTTTCCATAATGCACTCAAGCATCCAGGTTGGGAGAAAACCCTTCATAAAGTAAGGGAAACTTACTATTTTGATAAGATGAGTACCATCATACGAGAATTCGTCGACAACTGTATTGTGTGCCGAACTTCAAAACAGACATCAGGAGCTACCCAGGTACAATTACATCCTATTCCTAAACCAACTGTTCCATTCGAAGTCATACACATGGATATCACCGGCAAATTGGGAACTTCCAACGAGCGAGAGTACGTCGTGGTTACAGTGAATGCCTTCACAAAGTACGTATTGCTACACTACACCAACGATAAAAGCCACCACAGTACACTAGCCAGCTTGAAACATGTCATTCATCTATTTGGAGCTCCTAAGCAAATTGTTGTTGACGGCGGTCGCGAATTCTTAGGTGAGTACAAAAGTTATTGTGATTTATTTAATATAGAAATACATTCTATAGCACCGGGCGTTAGTAGAGCTAACGGGCAAGTGGAGCGTGTAATGGCAACATTGAAGAATGGTCTCGTCATGATAAAAAACTACGAGACGGCTGAGTGGCATACAGCCTTAGACAGTCTTCAACTAGCTCTCAACTGCACTGTTCATAGCACTACAGGTGTAGCGCCACTCACGCTATTGACTCGGCGTCAAAATTGTGTCCCACCAGAGTTGGTAAACCTAGTCAATCTAGATAAAGAGTTAATAGACATTGAGGCCTTAGAACGTCATGTGCAGCAAAAATTTACCCAAGCATCCGCTAAAGACAAGGCAAGATTTGACAGAGGTAAAGCAAAAATACATAAATTCAATAGAGGTGATTTTGTACTAATAAAAAATAATCCCAGAAATCAGACCTCCCTAGACCTTAAATTTAGTGCTCCTTATGAAGTGTGCAGGGTGCTTGACAACGACCGCTATCTTGTGAAAAAGGTAATAGGACATCATGGACGACCACGCAAGGTTGCGCATGATCAACTAAGACGGGCACCTCAACCCGGAGAAGCCTCTCAGGCGGCCGTGTCGCCTCCAGATGATGAGCAAGCTGGACCTGTATCACCTCTGGCTGACCAGCAAGCTAGACCTATATCACCTCCAAATGATCAGCAAGCTGGACCCGCGTTGCATCCAGATGATCAGCAAGCTGGGCCTTCAGAAACTATAGCAATACCGCTATAGTTGAGTATACCGGATTCATCGCTCCCAGCGAACACGGTGAAGAGCTTTCATCTATTTAAAACCCTTGTTATAAATAAGTTTTATGTTCATAAAAAGATGCTATGGCACGTGGAGTGTCTATAGCCACCAAAAGATGCTATTGGCGTGTGGAGCCGTCCAATAAGCCACCAAAAAGATGCTATGACACGTGGAGTTGTCTAAAGCCACCAAAAGATGCTATTGACGCGTGTGGTCGTCATATTAGCCAAAACTGTCATGTGGAATGAGCAGTAACTTTATAAATGTTATCTGTTGTCACGTGGAGTGAGCAGAACCTAAATACAACATTCATTAATTAGGTTGTGTACTGTGGAAGTACAGACCCTCACAATATTCTCTCTTGTTACAGAATAAATTTGGATCGACGCTGAGCACGCGTCGTGCATCAGTATGGCCGTATCGCCGCGATGCTTATCTTATGTAATCACGAATGAATCGAAGTGATGATTAATTATTTGATTGATTATTTTTGTTGTTAATTTTAATTAGCTATAATTAGTGGTAAATTGTTGATCTTATTCCAGTAGAAATCTATTTACGTAAATCAAACATTCTATTGATGTAAACAATCTTCTATTTCACCATTTTCTAAGTAAAAATGTAACGTAAGGATTTTGTTCAAATTCATGTAATTAAATTAAGTAAATAATCGTTATTTTCAAAATGGCGTCTTACGAATATTAATCTTTTGAAAAATATTGTAACTATCGGTTATTACGTCATCATTATTTATTTTATTAAGTGAAGTTTGACATTTGTGCCTACCGCCATGTTGGCGCACGTCAAAACGAGGTTATAAAAAGGCGTGTCTTGAGCAGAGGACTCACTTTTGTTCCTGACTTTGGTACGGAAAGGTTGTAAGTACAATCTATGTTGGTTTAATAAATGATTGAATTGCCATTATGCTTGTTTTATCAATTATAATTCCTTTGGTTTAAATTACTTTAAAATGTTATGTTGAAATCAGTATAATTAAGCTTGCCTTAGTAAACAAGTGCTAGATATTATAGTATAAAGCAGAACCGATGGTCTGAGTGGTCAACGGTTCTGCACTTTTTAAAAAATAATAACTTCATGACATCCGTGACATATACAATTAAATTGATCAAAATAATTTACCTGAAAGGATGCTGTAGCGTAAAACCTCAAAGTAAGCAAGACTGCAATTTCTGGTGCAGTCCTCTGTTATCACTTTTTACCAAATTATTACTTATCAACGATACGATATCAACAGCACTGATTCTTGATTAAATCGAAACCGTTTTGCGTAGGTAATTCGAAGGGATTTGTCGCGTCCCTTATATAAACTTTAGGTAGGTACTTAATAGATTTTGAAAAGGCCATAAAATATCATCGTATTAGGCGACTTCATCATAATAATTGATTTCGGAAATAATATTCTCAATATTCATGGTTCCCGCGAAATACTTAGGTACGAGTTCACGATATTAAGTCCAGGGTCGACTGAACTTAACAATCGGGGTCTTGATAACCGTCCTAATACCGATCTTGAAACCCGAGTAATGTTTATTAAACAATACGATCTCAGGTGATGACAAGGTCTTAAACCGCGTATTAGGTTTTGTTTATTAATATGTCGGAATATCAAACAGGATCTTAACATCTCACTCTTACGCTGATATCGGTTTATTAATACGGGCCCTAGTGTAGGTATCTAACTATGTGAGATTTATGATATATAAATATACGCCGTTACCGAAATCGGTAGGGAGGACTATATAAATATACGTATGCATATGTGAGAATAATTAGGATGATGACGGGGTATAAAAATTAAGAATCTAATTAGTCCTTTAGTTAGATAACGAAAAATTATATACGTTTTTTTTTTTTAATTTTCTCGTATTAAGTTGCAATACTTAGATAAAATGGTGCTAAGTTTAGGAGTGGGAGGTCGTTACGTCATAACGTACTACAAAATGTGTATCTAAATCTATAATAGGATAGATATTTTCTTTGCAAACAGAATCAGGGGTTAATAGACAGATTTATAGTAACAAAAACGTCATACTATTTACCTGTAAACAGCTCCTATGGAACCAGGCGTCTCTAGCGCAGCATGGCGGCCAGAATGTATTGATAGTAGGATACCCGTCCACCGCCTCGTAGCAAATCACACACACCGATTGAAACTCTGATTCGGGACCTAAAATAAATATACAAATGACAATGCCAGATCCTGACCCAGTCATACTATCATTTACAAAAAAAGTAAATCGATGAAAATAATTTTGACGAATAAGGAACCTTTTCACAATAAATCTTTTTATTTTTGAACTTGCGGTTTACAATTTAATAAAAAAAGAAGTTCAATCCCGGAAATACTTTTTTGCAATGCATATTCCATATTGTCTAATGACTATTTGCGTTACATCATACGCATCGCTTGTACGAAACTATGAAAATAAAAAAGTAAGTAACTGTAAAAAAGATATCATTATCATATACATAAAATATTATATCAAAAGTATAATTATGTATAAAAATTAGTTATTTATTAATAATTACAGATGAAATCACGAAAATATGAAAGAAACGATTACTATCGTTAGTTATGATTTTATTGTGTAACGAAACGTTTTGAAGCGCTCGTCAGCTGTCAGCTGTCAGTGTCAATATTATCTTTCATTCGCTCTCTGCGTTTCCGTTGTTTTCGTGTTATTTATCATTATTGTTTTGTGTTTTAAACAAAAACCGCAAGATTTACAGGTTTCAGGACGAATGTTTAGGTATCTTCAATCAATACACAACACGATGCTAAATATTGCATGCTTGTACATAACTTCTAATATAGTGGGTCAAAAATGTACTGAGCACCTGGCATTGTCCTTCGAAATAATTAGCATAACATAACATCACGCCTTTTATCCCCGAAGGGATAGGCAGAGGTTACGGCACTCAATGCCACTGTACAATGTAATACCCACTTTTCACTATTTATGTTATGAGTCCCACGTATTAGGGGGTGAGTCTATTGCCATATACCGAGCACAATATCAGACTCCGTGGTACAACATTACATGCATTACATTTTAAATCAGTATCATTAGGGTCTCGTTGCGGAGATCGCGACATGGCTCAAGGCCGCGGCGCACGACGCGCACGCACTCGCACGTCTAGTCGCAACGGCAACGTCGCGCGGACTGAACTATAAGCAACCTATTCACTCGGACCTTGAAGACACCAAGGTACCCTTACCCCAGGTACCATACCCTTCAGGAAATACAGACACAGGCAAAGAATCCTACTCCTTAGCTGTACGCACAAGGAGTTTTTAAATGGGGAGTTTAGAAATGTCAAAGTCAAAATAATGTATCTCAGTTAGACCAGAAAGGCACTTTTGAACGCCAACAAAAAAAATAGTGAAGCTATTTGCTCGTTCCAAGATTCTTATGGAGAAGAATGAGCAAGAAACTCCATAGGTTACTCTTTTTCAATCATGTTCACAATACAATTTACTAGTTACATAGTTTTGTTGTTTAGATTGTGAGAGAACAATGTAACACTAAAATCCAGTCAAAGAGATCGAAAAAGAAAATAACCTTAAGGACAATAAATAATGCAGTCTGGAGCTGACCAGTCCCAGTTCACGGCGACCGTTCACGAACATGCCCCTAAGCGTACACCATTGGACATTAAGAAGCGGTGATGGTATGTTCCAGCTTACAAAGAAATATTTCATTAAAATTATCGAGAAAAAATGAAAAATCACCCAAATAGGAGTGATCAACAAACCACAAAGGAAAAAGAAATGAAATATTGAAAACTAGGCTAATTGTGCCTTTTATTAAATTAACACGTCTTACCTTCTTCTCCATTACAAATAGACAACTCCTTCAGATCCTTGAAGTTAGATATTTTCTTTTTATTTCTATTATCTATTTTCATTCTCAGCTTAGCATTCTCCATTATAGCGGGCGTGATATTCTGTTTGGGCGCGTGCGCCTGACAGAATGACCTGTAACATTAATGTAGTTATTAATGTTGTTACAAGTATCGTACATGCTCGAAAAAAGTTAAGGGCTGCGGTCGAGTTCGAAACTAATCGATCGTCAGTCATGTTTAACTACTGTACGGGACAACTATAAATACATACATACATAACATCACGCCTTTTTATCCCCGAAGGGGTAGGCAGAGGTGCACATTTCGGCACTTACAGACATACAAAATTTTTATAGTATGTTCTTAATCTAGTGTGTTTACAGACAATAATCTTCTCTGTCTACATTATGGAACATACACCTAATTACAAACTAAATTAATATTAACACCAAGTTTTAATAAAACTATTATTTGTGTTGAAACGAATAAACTTTGGACTCACTTGTAATTCCCATAGAACATAGACACAGCATTGCGTTCCCTTCCACACGGCAGGTGGAATTGCTTCTTGCATTGTGACACTGAACAGCCGAGGTTGGCTCCCGGGCGGTTGCAGTACGAACATTTCTGCAAGACAATTTACGATATTAGAATTACAGATGGATACGATAATTATTTATATTAATATAAAACAGACTGCCTCGTTGACCGAGTGGTCGCAAGTGCGGGTCTCGGGTTCGATTCCCGGGTCGGGCAAAGTATTACTGGGTTTTTAAAAAATCTCAGTAGTAGCACGGAGTCTGGAAATGTGCCCGGTATATGGCAATAGGCTCACCCCCTATTACATGGGAATCCTTACTAATATTATAAATCTGAAAGTGAGTTTGTTTGTTTGTTTGTTCTGCTTTCACACCGTAACTACTAAACCGATTGCTTTGAAATTTTGCAGAGGTAAAGTTAGAAGTCCAGATTAAATCATATGGTACTTTTTATCCCGGAAAAATGTGATATTCCCGAGGGAAAACAAAAGTATTGGTATAGATGGCGTTGTATGTATTGGTATATGACGCATAGGCTACGTTTTATCCTTTTGTGACGCGAGCGGAGCCAAGAGTAAAAGCTAGTACTAATATAAAACGGACTGCCTCGTTGGCCGAGACGTCGCAAGTGCGACTGCCACTAGGTTTAAACAATTAACATCTTGCATGCTTTTGTATGAATGACACATGTTTATGCAAATAAATTATCTTTATCTTTATGGATCAAAATCAATATGTTTACTATACTTGTGCAGTGGACATACTGTGCCTAATGATATTGAAGAACGATAAAACTACATAAATGAATAGATACTTACATGTTTCTTAGCTCTCTGTATCTCCTTGATGATATCTTCATATAGAAAACCAAAGAGTCCGTCCACATCTCTACCTCTTTGTATCAAACATGATGACAGGAGCTGAAATTCATAAGCATTTGTTTGTAAAACTCCATATATGAGCAAGAAGTAAAAAATTTGTTAAAAGTAAAGTATAGAAATAGAATTATTGCTAAGACTGCCTCATTGGCCGAGTGGTTGTAGGTGCAACTGCTAGGCAAGGGGTCTTGGGTTCGATGCCCGGGTTGGGCAAAGTGTTAATGGGATTTTTTTTTAAAGTCTCAGTAGTAGCACAGTGTCTGGAATTGTGCTCAGTATATGGCAATAGGCTTACCACCTAATACAAGGGACTCATAACAAAATAGTGAAATGTGGGTGGGTAGTGGGTGTGTGTTTATGATCACACAAGTATTTAAATTTTTTTTCAAATTGTTAATTCTAAAGACTGTTTTTAACCGACTTCAAAAAAGGAGGAGGTTATACGTTCGGCCGGTATGTTGCTTTTTTTTAAATTATTATTGTTGCAAAGTGACCTAAATTTTAGAAGACAGCTAAGCATTGTTTGGTGCGCCTACAAAAATGATGTTTTCTCTTTGCTGGATATTCTACAAATTGTTAGGCACATCGATAACAAAAACAAATATCTGTTAATACCCTTTAGAAATCGATTGGATAAAACTTGAATGTGCACCTTATTCTCAATTCTGGCGATGACAAATTGAATTTGATTGGTTATGTTACATAAAACTCATGTCAGAAATTGCAGCATCACACAGATAGGTTGGCTAATTTAATTTAAACTGTTTTCTACCATTTTCTAAGATAAATCTTATATGTGCATCAAAATGTCTTTGCATTGTTCTTACATATGCGTACAGTACTGAAATATGTATCAGAGACATTGTAGAACATACTTTTTTAAAGAGAGTAACGAATGGAGTTTCTTGCTCGTTCTTCTCCATTCGAATCTGTTTTTTGGAATGAGCACCTAGCTTCACCTAGTTTCACTGATGGACTGACTGACAGACTATTATTTATTTTGTATTTGTTGATGTTTCAAAAGTACCAAACTATGGTTTAATTAAAATAAATGCTTTGACTTTGACTTTGAAGGGAAAAAAATATTGAGGATGAACATGTACATGTTGTCATTTTCACTTTTATCTCAGTTCATGCATAATATTTTTTGCCACTATACTTCATTTTCAGTTAGAGTGTAGCCTTAGGTGCGCTATGGCGCGAGGACTAAAAAAATTTTCATCAAAAATGAGAATTCTTATAAGCGGCTGGTTTTTATTTTATTTTAAAGCTTCATGCACAAAATGTACATAAGGTGGACTTAATGCCGCAGGCATTTTCTCCCAGTCTGACCTTTCTATCTTTTTCTTTTTCATTTCTATCTTTTAGTATACCTAAAGATATGGTGAATATTATTAAAAATTCTAAGTCGTAAACTCCTTGCCCCTAAGACGACCCACTGACCTCATTTTGTCCCCTGAAAAGTTAACTAAATGCGTAAAAGTTTTTTTGGCGTACCAACGGATTCTAATAGTATGTCTTTGTACCAATTGATTTCATATTGCAATTGCAACCAATACCAATATTTTAAAGTACCTACTTACAAGTAGTGTTCGTGAGGTCTATTTAAAGGCGCTACAACGCTGAGTTCGTGTCTTCGTCAATTTATATTATATTATAATTATATATATGAAGTTATTTATGTACATATTTTGTGTTTATTATATATTTTTATACATTATGTTATACAGTATTTATTATTGCTATTAGTTATTTATTTTGTTTCTTTTGCATAATTATTACACAAGCCCATTTTCGCTGAGCTTACTTTTAACCCAAAGGTTGACTGGGAGAAAATGCCATATGGCATTAAGTCCGCCTTATGTACCTTATTTTGTGTGCATTAAAGTGTAAATAAATAAATAAATAAATATTTCAAACAGATTACACTTTTCAATAGAAAAGCTAAATTCCCTTTGAATCTAGGAGTTATCAACAACATAATTATAACAAAATGAATAACACAAAGAATGTTTTGCAGTAGTGGAAATTTATATTAGTGTTGATGTTATATTGTATTGTATACTTTAATATTATGACATACAATTTTACAGATATAAAGACATCTCAATACTTTAAAAGAGGCCGAGCGAAACCATGAGCTGAAGCTAGTAACATTAAGGGAAAATGATTCATATTCTTTAATTATATTTTCGTTGAGTTTCCATTATTTTTAAGATGTATTTAAGACAAGTCCAATGAACCAAAAACCATGAAATTTGGTCTAGCCGATCTCGAGTTATATGTGTTGGAACAAACCCGTCTTTCTTTTATATATATAAAATTTTAAATTTGACATTTTGAAATCATTATCTTGACATTTAATTAATTACATTTTAATTCGATTTATATTGTATGTTATGTAATAAATACAACATTTGCATGCCTGGAAAAGGTGGAATACATTGTACTGTTAAAAATAAGACTAAGATCCATTGTATCACATGTCCCTGTGAAAAAAAGTATAATGACTTGGCCATTGGGTCACCTTATGAGCAGAGTAACATTCTTGTATTTAAACACGATCAGAATAATAGAAAAACACCACGCAAATGTAAATTACAACTACAATAATACAAATGCGAAACTAGTGTGAATTTGTACCTCATTACACTTAATTTACTCAACCAATCTTACTGAGATTTTGCATACATATAGTTGACAGTGAAGAGAAGGACATAGACTACATTATCTCGCCAATAAAAGGCTAGGTTATGCATAGAATGATCAAAAAACTCACCACACAGAAGTAGTGACACTGAATCTCTCCTATCGCATACAATTTCCCATAAGTTAGCTCATCGTCCACTTCACGCTGGCAAAAGCCACATGGTTCTCTCTTTCCAGTCACTAGCTTAGCTACAATCTTATTTTTATTGCATTTCTTCGGAGCCATCGTCACTATAATGCACTTTCACTTTAACACATAATTTCTCATAATCTAACCATCACTTTTACACGAAAACTTTGATTTAAATAATCAACTACATAAGTAACTCTGAATACTCATCAAAAGATATATATGTAAATAATAAGCCAATAATTCTGATTCACAAAACACTGATAAAAATTGATAACAAAAAGAGACACCAGAGACACTGAAGTATGGCTGTTGGCGTTCCCAGTTACAGTGTTGCCATCACATAGATGTATTTCTCCCTAAATTTAAGTCAAACACTATTTTATTATACGATCATGGGATGTGTACTAAATATTAATTAAAGTTTGTAAAATAAATATGAAATTCAAAATATATAATTGTAGCATTGATAAAATGGATAAATACAAAAGGTTAATGAAGTTTTGCTAAGTTTTAAATACAATTAAAACCGTTAAATCGGCGATGTACGATGTATATATGTATGATGTATTGTAAAAAACTTTTAAACTATAGGAACAATGAATTTCTAGCCGTAATTTCGACTTGAATACAAAATTTTATCAAAGAATTCACCATCTTGAAGTACTTACAATAATAAAAACTCTCCCTGAATTTGACGAGATTAACCCTACGTTGGTATCACTGTGGGCTGTCTGAGTTTGACATATTAATTGGCGGGAATTAAGAGTTCCTATTTTTTGCGCCTTCGTCTAGAAATTTGGAGACGAAGACGCAAAAAATTAGAAGTTTTAAATGATCTAGTAAGAGCTATAAATGCATACTTTATCTGAGTATTAAAAAGGTACCTAACTTTTCTGTACTTCTAGTAAGTGTAATAAGAAAACATGGATTGAATTTCAAAATATTCTTCTTCTGTTTCTGAACGAAAGACATAGAGGAACTAATTTTTTCTCCTAATGTTGCCCTCCTTCAAACTCTACTTTCCACATCCTCTGAACTCATTGTTCCTCATAAAAATAAGCTTGTCTATGGCAGAAATTATATTAAAATTATGTGCAATTAATCAAACAAGCAGCAACACTATATTAAAAACGTCAAGAAATCTAAAAAAAAAAGCCGGAAGGCAACTTAGTTTTTATTTTTATTGTTATTTGTTTAATTATTGTTAAGATACTACGTTAATAGTAACAACCATAATTTTATCTAGTCTTAGAGCTTATTTCGTGTCCAGAGTAATTTAATTGCAAATATCTGTGCTTGTGACGGGTTTATGGAGCCATAAAATTGTTGATATAAAGTCCTTTGTTTGGGAAATAGCAATTTCTTCGTGTTTCCTCGTGAATAGGGTGTGGAAAACGCATTTGGGAAGCGTATAAGCCGTGGTTTTATTGTTCTTTGTTCGAATCGAGTGTGAAAAGTGGTTAGACAAGCTTATTTCATCAATGTTTTATGCGCGACTGTGGTTGACCATTTAGACATAAAACTTTAACATTTTGCCGTCACAAATATGGCTGTGTTGCTCAATGCTCGTTGTGAAAACCGTGTAAAGGGAATACGGAACCGAGAAACTCCATTAATAATCCAATAAGAGTCTTGTAAGTTGTGTGAATTGCCCAACATGTCGACCTTGGGAGATAGTGAAGATATCTGGCCACTTTCCGGCAATCGATTGGATTCGAAATACGAAAAATGCCGTAATATAACAGAAGAGATATATAAAAGGATAAATATTACGTTTCAAATAAAAAAATTGGAGTCTGAAGTTCATAGTGACTTGTCGGACAACAGGTAAAGTGAAATTGTGTTTCCTGACTATTTTTCCTTATGAAATCATACTTGTAATACGTATGAAGTGCTTATTACCACAGCAGACTACTCCTAAATACCTTTCCTTGACAACAATACATGAGAAGACAGACAGAATTCCCCAAAGTTTCATACATATATCTAATCTCTTCATTAAAAGTATTTTCAACCCTGTCCACCCTCCATTTGACAATAAAACGATACTATGTCACTTCCTGCATCTAACAAATACAGTTTTAAATAGAAAAACTTGATTTAAATTGTATAAAATGTTGAATTTTATTGTTCAAATCTCGTCAAGGCCATGTTTCGCAACTCAAAGTTTTGTGTTAAGCCATTATGCTAAGTTTGGTAGATTATTTCGACAAAATGGACATCATTATGCTTTTGACGATAACATATTTGTATTTGGTAGTATAATTTTGTATTTTATATGTTTATTTTAATATTTCGAAGTAGGAAGGCGACCAAGGAGTTGTAGTTGTGTTTTTTTTCTTGCTTTATATGTTTAAATAATATTATAAAATTTGTTTGATATGAAATTGGTGGACATGTATTTGTAGCTTAATATTATCTGCCATTATATATTTGTTGTGACATTTTAGAATTACAACCTACCTTCACTGCTTCACAGACTGGTTGATGGAAAATTATAATTTGAACATTGAAGTTTTAAAAATTACTGTGTAAATAAAATGTAATGGAATAGAATGAAACGGAATGGAATGATAAGGAATGGAATGGAATGAAAAGGAATGGAATGAAATGAAATGGAATGGAATAGAATGAAATGGAATGAAAATTTTTATTTGCGATACATAAGTCATTTGTATGACTACTATAAATAAAATTAAAATTAGCCATTAGGTACTTGACTTTACAGTTATAATATTTAATACTTCCAATATAATTCTAACTAAAGCCGTGAGCTGTGACAATTAATTGAAATGATTTAACTAACATTCCTGTTTAGGTAACTACCTATCAGTAACTAGTGAAAATTAAAATCAATCAATAAATAATAATACTTGAAACTACTCAACAAAATAATGATATGATAAAATATTAAAATAATATGTATCAAGGATAAAATGTATTATTAGAGTCTTTATTATTTCTAGCCTTTTAATTTCGATGTGACAATATATTCCGTTCTTTTCTAAGCTATTTGTGCTTTGGCAATTGTCTCCACTTCAGCATGTCAGTTTGCCAGGTGGCAAAGGCCTCCAATCTTCTCCATTCTGGCCTTTCTATGACAACTCTGCCCCAAGTTCTTCCTGCGACTTGTCTGATGTCATCCCACCTTTTTGTCGTCTGACTCTTTCTCTTTCCATTCCATGGGTACCATTTTATTCCCATTTATGTCTTCCTCGGACCATGCAACACATGTAATATTGACTGTTGATTTGTTTAAATCATCGATGAAAACACATCAAATCATAACTCCTAATCCCCAAAACGCCGGTGACGCACTTGTAACGCCTCTGGTGTTCCGGATGTCCATGGGCGACGCCGATAGCTTACCATCAGGTGATCCGTCTGCTCGTTAACCGGCTTATGCCATAAAAAAAAATCCTACACCGCACATGTGAAGTATATGCGAATGAACACGGAAAGAAAATCCCAACCAACAACTGTTGGGCACAAAGCACGAATATCTCGCCTGTCGGAGGGTCCTCTTTGGAAAGAGACATCTTAGAGAACGTTACTCTCTATTCCCTAAGACCTGCTTATTTCCAGTTTTGTCTCCTCACTCTAAGAGTAATATCTTGAACCTTGGTCCTCCTGATGCTGCTCATTGCTACATCTTATTTTTGACCTTTCTTTCGATCTCAGGCATGTTTCTTTCCATGGCGTGTTGCCATATTGGGAGCCTATTTATTACTGTGTTCAAACCCCATGTTTCACACCCATTCGTCATGACGGGCAAGTGTTAAATAATCTGCATTTCGTTAAGATGTACGAGTGTCTTGTAGTTGTAGGTAATGAATCAGACTATTTTAATATTTTTATACTGTTTCGTTGGCCGAGTGGTCATAAGTGCGATTACCGGGCAAAGGGTCTCATTACTGGTTTTTTTTTTAATCTCAGTTGTAGCACGGAGTCTGGAATTGTGCCCGGTATATGGCAATAGGCTCACCTCCTATTACATGAGACTCATAACATAAATAGTGAAAAGTAGGTGTTACATTGTACAGTGGCATTAAGTGCCGTAATGTGCATGCACCTCTGTCTACTTGGAGTTATGATGGTGTGTAAGACGTGATGTTATGATGATGATGATAACATTTTAATTAATCTTGGTATTCTTTTAGTTATACCACTTTAAAATAAAATGGAAAAACTGGCTTTACTATTTTTTCCTTCTTAACTATTAAGAATTTCAAAGTTATCACGAATTTTCATGGTCTGAGTCTAATAAATAATAATAAAGACTATCGCACGTGGATTCGCCGATAAGGACTCGGTTACGACAACTAGAGTACTTAATACTGTTAAAACTAAGACCCAATAGAGAATTTTCTGCTGTCACACTTTTTTACATTATATTTTTGACAGTTACACTGACTGCTTTAAACAAACAAGACATCACGTTACATTAGCGCCATCTAGTCACACAAAATCGATAACTTGTGTGGAATAGATAAGACAACAGCTAGTGTACAATAAAATGAATCACAATAATATTATAAATGTAAAAGTTTCTTTATTTGAATGTTTGTCCGCCAATCACGCTGAAACTACTGAACGGATTTTCATCAAATTAGGTATACAGACAGGGTTTGGGCTGATTTTGGTATATAGGGTACTTATTATCCCGCTTAAATGCTTCCATGAGACAAAACAGCACGCAGGCAGAGCCGCGGGTAAAAGGTAGTACCTAATAAATGTATATATCTCTTACAGTGACCAAATAGACAGCAACGATCTCAGTAATGAAACGGACCTGTTTGCGTGCGACAAGAGCGACTCCATATCGAGCAGCACGGAGGCCGAGCGGCCGACGGTAACATGCGAGAAATATATCAATATCAACAATAATGAGGAGACCAAGATGAAGAAGGGTGCCACTACTGTTTATAAGAGGCCTAGGAAGCGGTGAGTTTTTATTTTAAGGGGGGAAATTCATCGAATGACTGCTCCCGCCTGGGTGAGGCGGAAGGGAGTGTCAGACTCTTACTGACTAAAAACCACCCCGTTCCTTCTCCTGCACGTCGAGCCGGAGCCCCGGTTACCCGTTAGGTTCTCCGCGACTCCGAATCGGCATCGGCCCTATTGGGCCCCATCTGTGGTGGTCTGATGGCTCTTTGAGGCGCAGGAAGCGGTGAGTAGTGATAGATAGACATATTTTAAGGGGGGGATCTTCTAAGGATTGCACATTCGCGCGTTGGCTGGGCAACCAGCTGCCATGCAACGTGTCGCGGCTTTGATTCCCGCACGGAACACTTCTTTGTGTGATCCACAGATTGTTGTTCCGTGTCTAGGTGTCATGTGTATGTGAACTTGTATGTTTGTAAACGCACCCACGACACAGGAGAAAATCCTAGTGTGGGGCAACAGTTAAAAAAAACAATGCATCATTCAAAACACTGAAGTTTGACGCGTCTCAGGGATATGAATAGTCGTGGGCACAACGGCTCTAAATTCACAACGCGTTATAACGTTAAGCTTCATAAAAAAAATATGCTATTTTGTCTGCGCTAATATATTAGTTAGGCTGCGCAGCGCTGAATGCAGTGCGCGGTGTGCGAGTGCGATAGCAGCGCAGCGCAGTGCGCAGTGTGCGAGTGCGATGGCTGCGCAGCGCTTCGTTCACAGAAATATTAAAAAAGGAGAAGTGGCAAGGGGGCGTGTCGGTGACGCTCGCAACTTGAGCGCTCCGCTCAATGTACGAAAATATGGGCGTCACCACGAGTTAGTCTGTTGTCATGTGTTGTGTGAACAAGATACCTTCGATCCCGCAAAGTAATAAATCAGAATATATCATTAGAGAAGAGGAAAGGGATAGGTACAACTTTCCTCGTTGTTTTTTTAATAATAAAACTGAAAAGTTTTATATACACATTTCAGTCCTGCAGCTGTACCCAAATGCCATTTAGCGCTTGTCTTCATGTAGAATAGAAAACCAAATTATATGGAGCTGACGTAAATTTTGACACTTGTCAGTGTCATCCCCATACATTTTGATTTCTACTCTCTCTGTAGACATGCGCTAAAGTGGCGTTTGGCTAAAGGCACAGGTGTTGTGAATATTGATAAAAAAAAAATAGATCTGTGATCTGTCTGCTCCTTCGCTTGTTTTTGACGTGACAACGTCTTATAAATTGGTTTGCCGGGTGACACTTCAAGAAACTGCGTTACGCTCCGCTCACGTTATGCGCTCACAATGAGAGCGAGTGAGAGGCACGCGTCCCTTCCACTCGGGCATGGTTAACCCGCCTAAGAGCGAGAGAGACAGACATAAAAAGTGAAAGGCACGCGTCCCTTCCAATCGAGCACAGTTAGCCCGCCTAAGAGCGAGAGAAACAGAGCGAGAGAGAGAAAGAGTGAGAGAGATACATCCTTCTTCCTACTATACGAATGAATATTCACATTAAAATTATTTTACCACTCAAAGTCGTTGTCACGTAAAACTTTCGCCCGTATACCGACTTTACAGGCAACCAATTTTTTTAATGGAACGTCTACTTTCCCTTCCAGATTCCGTAAAAGAGTGAAGAAGCGCCAGTCAAAGTCAGCTCGGAGTGACTCGGAGGGCTCGAGCGACGAGGCCGTCCCTCTCAGCAGGATTATAGAAGTGGACAGCAAGTGCATCAACTCGGAGTCTCCGGATAATGTGATGGGAGTGCCCAATATCGTTATATTGACTAGAGGTAGGTATTTATCAGTTTATAGTAATACTAGCGGACCCGACAGACGTTGTCCTGCATATCCACTTGAATGTATAAACAAAAAATCATTCAAATTAGTTCAGCCGTTTGGGCAATAACCTAAACATCGACTGCAGTGCCATCTGCCGGGCTGATTTGTGAATCTAAACCATTCCCAGATCCCCTTGAACACACACACAAAATTTCATCAAAATCGGTCCAGTCGTTTGAGAGAAGTTCAGTGACATACACACTCACAGAAGAATTATATATATAAAGACTAGCTTGGAGGCTTGACTTCGCAAAGACTTCAATACCTCTTGTCCTTTTAAAATCTGTAAAAGTCCTAAAGAATTTTACCTGACTAGCGTTCTTAAAAAAAAAACGTAGTGTAAGTTAAAATTAATTGATATTAATTTATACAATTCTTCTTAACAGACTTAAAACCAAAAATCCAACAAGAAAAGAAGTCTCCAAAGTCTATCCCGCCACAAACTAAGACAGAAGAAACATCCCCACCACAGAAAACAGAACGAAAACCCACACCACTGCAGAAGATGACAGAAATAAGTCCCGCCTCTCTGCAAAAGACAGAAGTAAGCCCCGCCTACAATCAGAATGTGACAGAAATTAGCCCCGCCTCCCAGCAGAAGGTGACAGATATAAGCGCCGCCCCTCTGCGGCAGAAAGAAGAGAAAGGAGCGAGTGAGTGGAAGAACTGTACAATGTGCAGTCTTTCTTTTCGAGGAGAAAGAGGATTGAGGTGAGAATTAAGAATTTGAACCTTATTTGCAGTAAACTAAAGTTTTAAACAAACAGCTGCTCTGCTACATATCAAGCACGTGTCTAGGACCTATGTATGTATGTACAGTCCAACTAATATTATAAATGTCATATGTTTATATGTATGTTTGTATAAACAAGCTGCTGCTTCAAATCCAAAGTGGTGATTACTTGAAAAGTGATTATTTAAATGGCGAATTAAGCAAACTAAAATAATTATAATATATTGGAAAAAGGTTGTCTTTACTCCAATAAATATAATAAAAAAATGAATTTTGAATATATAAGGATTTATAGATAATCGAAATAAAATTGTATACATGTTGTTCCAGACGCCACATGACGATGTCTCACATATTAAACGATGAAGAAACAAAGAAGTCCAGTAAACCGGAGCAACGACATTCGACCATTACAAGTGGGTAATTATTATTATTATTTATTCATATAACAAGCCGCCATCTTGTCGACAGAGAACACAGAAGCTGATTAAACCTCAAGAGCATCTTAGGCAAGGACCTCATAGACCTGGTTTTTGACGCCACTGTCACTCTTTGGGCAGTCGGTCAGTCCCTCTGTAACCTGGCGCCCCACTTGCCTAGTTTTAGAGATAATACGGCTCTGTATGTAAAACGATTTTAAATTAATACCCAGTTATAATCCAAAGTCTTTGAAAGATGTCCTATAGGATTTGTCGAAACTTTATCTTAATGCGAACATTTTTTATTCAAAGATTTTGGATTTAGATCGACTATTTGCTTAGATCATTTGTTTGTGGTATTCTGAAAGTGTTTTGATACAAGAATTCGATTTCGAAGTTGAGTGTTACTTTATAAAATAATCTGTTTTAGACATATGTTAACATTGATTGGATACGTCTGTGTATGGGTTTGATATAGTGTACTTATAATATAAAAATAAATTACTGAATGTGTTGCTAAGCGCAAGTCTCTAAAACATTTGAACTGATATTGTTAATTTGTTCTTGTTAAAAGAAATTTCTTAACTGAAAATCGTGGGTTACTCACGTGAAAATAATGTGAAAAGCTCTACTAGTGACGCGTAGCCTATGTAACCGTAGCACGCTGCTCATGAGGAAGAACTCCTATCTGGTTCGAAATTAGTAGAGCTTGTCTCAGTATTTTCACGTGAGTAATCCGCGATTTTACTTAACTTAATATGTGTTATGGTAGTTATTATAAAAACAGAGACGATTCTTATAATTTATATATTATGTATTGGTTTTTTCGTATTTAAGAAAAAATAAAAGATGCACTGAATATTTTACAGGTTGAAACAAAGTTCGCATAATGCGCCGATTTACCATATGTCAATCCCATATTTTGACCAATCGTTAATGCTCTTTGCCTAAGAGGGCATTTGAAATAAAAATTATACCATAATAAAAATGATCTAAGCGAAAGTATTGCGAATGGTGTCTCTGTCAATTTAAAAAAATAATTAATAATAATTATAATTATTCACAAATAGATGTTTTTTAAAAGGATATAGTTTATTGCGAGCTAGTTTTGACGGTTTTTAGTGAAGTTTTTATTAATATTACTTATTAGATATGAAAAATTAATTAAAATATTATTGTTGTAAGGTAGGAAACGGTTCGATTTGGGGTAGAGTGCAATAAAAAGTTGATATTTTATTTTGAAAATTTATTGAGAGTGTGAAATTAATGTTACCTAGGAAAGTGCCGTTTCAAACGGCAGTTTTACGGTCTAAACGGCAATGCCGTAGGTATAAAAATATTTTTTTTTCATTTATAGCCAATTTTGAAGCGTTAAAATTGGATTGTCTGTCAGTGAGGCTAGGTGCTTATTCCAATATGTAGATTCCTGTGGAGAAGAACGAGCAAGAAACTATGGAGTTTCTACCTATGGAGGTTACTCTTTTTCAATCAGGTTCACAATACAATTCTTAGGTACATTATTCAGTTGGTACGATTATTTGAAAACAATGTAACAATCTTTTTTTAACACATCAACAGCTTTTAAGTGACCACTACTGACCAAAGGCCTTCTCATACGGAGAAGGTTTGAGCATTATTCACCACGCTTGCTCGATGCGGGTTGGCGATTTCAAACTTAAATTCGAAATTATATGCTCATGTTTCCTCACGATGTTTTCCTTCACCGCTTGTCAGTGGTGTCTAGATAATCTTAGAAAGTACATATAATTCGGAAAATGTCACATTTATACTTGCCGTTGGTAGGTTTCAAAACCGCACTCTCATGTATGAGAAGCGGGCGTCTTAAACCTTCGAGAGGCAATCTCATTGATGATAATGGTCTCTTGATGAAATAGTGGTTTAGTTTATTTACATGCTCTCAATATATTTTCAAACTAAAATATAATATCGTTATAGTATGAGTGCCAATGCCGATATAATACTAAAAAACTGCTTTCAAAAAGCAAAAATATGCTCTCTAATACTTTTTAGTGATAATAAAAAAGTCATATTGGCTATAAATAATAATATATGTATATGAGATGCTTAAGTATACCCAGATCTTGCGACAAGCTTTAAAGTTAAGCATCTATAGTCTTGCAATCGGAGGCCCAATTAACCGGGTCCCCAATCCCCGAATCCCCAACAATATTCAAATTCCTAATCCTCAAAAGGCCGGTAATGCACTTGTTACGCCTCTGGTGTTTCGGGTGTCCATGGACGACGCCGACTGCTTACCATCAGAGTGCCAAGCACGAATAACGAGTATCGAGCGAGTTAAGCGTTCTGATTGGTTGGTTCACTTGAGCCGGCCAATCAGAGCGCCGACGATACGAATGCGATAGTTATTCGTGCTTGGCCCTCAGGTGATCCGTCTGCTCGTTTACCAGCTTATTCCATAAAAATGCATACAAGAATTCAGCTCAATCGGTTGAAGATATCTCCTTCAATTTATTTGCAAGATTCCACTTCACACACATATATACAGGTACATATAAATATATATATATTGCATGCAGGAAGCTTCCGACCTTGCGATGTAGTTATTGGGGGAGGTCGATGCCGTCTGTCTGTCCCTATGTATGCTTAGATCTTTAAAACTACGCAACGGATGTTGATGCGGTTTTTTTAATAGATAGAGTGATTCTTAAGGAATGTTTATATGTATACATGCATATTGCACCCGTGCGAAGCTGGGCCAGGTCGCTAGTAAGTAATAATAATAATTTTCATGCAGTCTAAAGACGGCTACTGGTGAACAAAAGCCTCCATTATAAAAGCGGGTCAGAAAAGCAAGATATATATATATATATATATATATATATATGCTACACAAAGAGCGTTTTTTTTAATAAATTTTAATTAAAATTGCAATGTATCAAGGCCTATTACAATGCTTGAAAAGTGAAAATTTTATATTTATAAAAAAAAGAATTAAAATATTTATTAAAAGCGACTCAGTCGGTTATAGTATTTCTTATATTGAAACGATAAAATATATATTGTGGTATTTTGAATAAAATTCACGATAATGCATCGATTTGATATTTAATTATAATATTATTGAAATGAATTAGAAAAATACGATTTTCTAAATCGATGCTCTCAATTTATTTGTCAACAGTGATTGCTATATATATTTAATATATATATGAAAAATGGCCTTATAATTTCTTAATATATTTTAAAATATAATATAAATATGTGTAACTGCCTTGTTGGCCGAGTGGCCGCAAGTCGACTGCTGGGCAAGGGGTCTCGGGTTCGATTCCCGGGCGGGGCAAGGCTTTTTAATAAAAATCTCAGTAGTAGCACGGAGTCTAGAAATGCGCCCGGTATATGGCAATAGGCTCACCACGTATTACATGGGACTCATAACATAAATAGTGAAAAGTGGGTGTTACATTGTACACAAAGCACCGCTAATTAGTTAGCGGCGCTACACATCGACACAACTATCATTTACACAATATACATGTGTGGGTAATTTCATATCAATAGATATGTATAGAAACATTCGTCTATCACACACATCTTGGTATTTAAAAATCATTTTTGTGTCGGTATACGCAATAATTTAGTAAATAAGTTTAAATAAAAACGAGGGTAAAGATAAAATTACTCATAACAAACTTTGAATAAATCGAAATCAAAAATAATGAACGATCGAGCTATACAATACCCATATAAATATAGTGCTTTCTCATTGTAATTTTATGTTACTGAATGATATAAAATATTTCGATGATCTCATCTACAGCGCGCTTGGCGCAATGGTTATCGCCTCCAATTGTCAAGTAAAGTGCCGCCGGATCGATTCCAACATTCACATGTTGTTTTAGAATTAATTTATCAAATATTTGAAATTTGAAATTAGAAACAATTAAATCTTTTCTTTTTTTTCCTTTCCTATTGTTCTAAATCTTATGTTAATTTTAATAGTAAATACTTTAGATTTATTTATACCTATAATATCTTTTATTTATATTTTAGTTCTAGTTATTTATTATTTAGAATAATCTCATTTGCTTCATGCATTTCAACCAACTTAAATAAGATAAAAACAGTAAAAAAGTAATTAACTGTGATTTCTTAATGGTTCGATACCTGAGTATATTTGCAATGTTTGTGGCGACCATAGAAATCTCGAGTCATTTTATTTTACACGCTTATGAAGTAACTACCGACTATTTAAAACATGTTTTTCAAATCACCCGACTTACAAAATAATTGCGTTCTTAGTTGTCAATTTATGAGGATTTCATAGTTTATTGCTACACTACTTATATTCGTGTGCAAAGTTATTTTTATTTTTACAAGATGTTCCAACACCTATCAACATTTAAAAAGGCTGAAACCATTGTTTTGCATGAGCAAAACATAACTAACAATAACTGAAATAGCAAGGCGTTTAATGATATCGGTGAGTAAATAAGATACTACGTTGATATTCTAAATAATATTTATTTCATTTTGTAACTCGACACACCTATCAATTTTTGCACTAGAATAAAATAATTATTGCAACTTATTATGAAGTTCAATATTATAAAGATATATTAATAATTTATTATTAATTGTATTGTAACTTGACTTGTTTTTGTTAGGAGTGTTTCTTTAAAACATATCTGGTTAGGGATTTTTATTCCTTACGCCACTACTTAATTATAAATTATTATTCTAACATTGTGTTTACTTATATTTATTATTATTTTTAAATAACTTTAATTCCTGTAAAGTATTTCCTGGTATTTTAAATACTTATTTGTTTGGTATCAACAGAGGAGATCCATGCAGTTATGGGTGCACAGATATGCGGAGACCGGTGACGTTAAACATCGTCGACGTGGGCCTAAACCAAAGGCAAATTCATCGGCTCGGCACTACGACATCGTAGCCAGGCACATGGCTGATCCGTTCCTGCCAACCCGCACTACAGCGACAGCACTGAATGTTTTAATACAAA